TCTGCTCTGCAGCCTGACCGTACGGAGGAGAGGTGGAGGGGTGGGGGGGAGGGAGGGGGGAGAGCCAGCCACCCAAAAAGAAAACCCAGCTTCGAGCCGTCACCCTCCGCCACGAAAGAAGAGAAGGGGGATCGAGACTAAGAGAAAAAAGAAGAAGAAGAAAAAAAAGGATCTCGGCTTGTCCAGCCCTTCTGCGGCAACAGGAACAGACAGCGAACCCGGTGGATTTTTTTTTTTTTTCCCCTTCTTCGGCGTTTCTTTTCCAGCGCAAGGACTTCCACTCAGGAGAGAAGAAAAAAAAAAACCCAAACCCAAACCACCAACCAACCTGCAGAGACCGAACACACACAAAAAAGCAAGACTAATAATGAACAATCCTGTTAATCCGCTGTCCCGAGGGCTGGGGATGTGCCCCGGCTCGGGAAGTTGTAGGCTGTAGAAGTTCTGCCTTCTCCCCCATGTACTGTGCTGTCTAGAGCTTGTTTCCCCCCACCCTATTTTATTTTTTTTTTTGGTGCTTTATTGCTGTTATTGTTATTATCTTAATTTTTCTTCTTCATGATGTGCTGTTAGAAACCACTCCGGGACTACTCCAGCAGTAGGAAGACCGAGGAGTGGAGTGGATGAATATACCGATGAGAGATCCAGTAATCCCTGGGACAAGCATGGCTTATCATCCTTTTTTACCTCACCGGGCACCGGACTTTGCCATGAGCGCTGTGTTGGGACATCAGCCTCCCTTCTTCCCGGCTCTGGCTTTGCCTCCCAACGGGGCGGCCGCCCTTTCCCTTCCCGGGGCTCTGGCTAAACCCATCATGGATCAGTTAGTGGGGGCTGCAGAGACTGGTATCCCCTTTTCTTCCCTGGGTCACCAGGCAGCAGCCCATCTGAGGCCTTTAAAAACTCTGGAGCCAGAAGAAGAGGTGGAAGACGATCCGAAAGTGCATCTGGAAGCCAAAGAGCTTTGGGAACAATTCCATAAAAGAGGCACGGAGATGGTGATTACCAAATCGGGAAGGTAGGTCTGGGTCGGGGGTTCGTGCCTTTATTTCCCCCCCTCTGTCTCTCCCCCCACTCCTCGGTCTCTGCACCCCACCTGGCTGCTCCAGAGCAGCCGACAAATTGCTCCGTAAAGCTCCTTTCACCTGGAATTATGGCAAGTTTTAGGCAGCTGAAGATCCGAGCCCATCTTCGGGCACCACGCTGCCGGGAAAGGCTCAAGCGCTGAACCACGAACCGGCCCCGCTCAGCGTGTGCAGGGGGCGAGGGGGGTCCCTTCATGGTTCGGTAGCTTAATACTTTCTGGAGAAGACCGGGAGCGGAAAGAAAATAATTTGAGGTTGGAAAAGGAGCTGGCCTGATTTCAGCCTTGCTACACGTAGTTTTTCCTTTTTTTTTTTTAAGAAAGAAAAGGGGGAAGCAAGGAAATAAAGAATATGATTCGGAGCGGTGTTTCGCTGCTGGGTGAGGCAGGAGCTGCAGGAGGGCAGAGAGGTTCAGTTTATCACTTGCTCGGCTTCTGCCTGTCCCTCTGCCGGGATCTCAGCTTGCGTTTGTGCTGCCTAATTATATCTGGGAATGCCCAAAAAGCTGACAAAAGCCCACCCAGCGGTCCTGCAGCCGCTGCTGTAGTGGCAGGGGAGGTTTTTGCAGCTCCGCGCTGCCTGTCGCTGTATTTATACAACCTTCACGTGGGAATGAATGAATATAAACGGCGCGTCCACGCTCGGCATTTCTGCTTTTTATAGGTTTACCCATCTGAAATGCCTCTCTATATTCGCTACTCGCTGATATCCGTGCTTTTTTACAACACTACCTATTGCTGTGATGACACGTAGGGAGGAAAAAAAAAACAACCCTTTGCATTCGGCTGTTTTTCTAAGAGACTCTCTTAGAAACCTCCCAAACAATTCGCGTGTAATTTGCCAGGAGAATTACTCGAGGAAGCCACTCCTGAAAAGTCTTCTTAGATGGCCTTCAGCTGCCTTGCTGGAGCTTCACCTACTTGCAGAGCACCGGTTGCAGGCTACAAGCTCAGGAAAAAGAAGAAAAAAACCCCAAACAAAAACCCTAAGAGCAGCAAGGAGGGGGGGACAAAAAATCCCCTCTCCCGTTTTACTGCTTTCCTGAAGTTTTCCCTGTTAATTGTGGTCAAAACTTTTTTTTTTTTTTTTTTTGCGCGAAAGCCTCGGCGAGTATTAAGCGCTCTTACATGTTGCAAAGTCATGTGTTTCCTTTTAAGTTGAGATTGCTGAATGCCAACCGCTCGATATAATAAACAGCAAATTTGTGGTATCCTGTTGCAGTTTGGAGCCGGACTTGGGAGCGGAGGGGAGCGGGGTTTTTCAGGGAGCCCTCTGCCTAAATGGGTTATCACTGGGAGGCTGGAGCGCTGGGGAAGCCCACCCTGCCCTCACTCTAGGGTTTGGGTTTGTTTTTCTCTCCACCTTTGCAAAGAGGAAAAAAAAAAGCCCTTTTCCTCTTTTCATCGGTGCAGTGGGTCAGAATAACGCGGCATATTTATTTTCTCGGGGGTGCGATGTTTCCCCCTTCTTTGTTTAGCAGGCGAAAAGGAAAAAAAATCACGAGAGATTTGAGAGCCCTAAATGAGGCTTTGCTGTTTAGGAATGGCAGAGGGTAGGCGCCTGCTGATTTCGAGGGAAACACGCACCTCTCCCCTCCGCCTCCCATCCCAGGGACCATTTTCTCCCGAAACTTTTTAGCGTTTGAGAAACCTTTTCGCTGAGGGCGGGGGGAAGCCTCTTTGCTGGGCGGGGGACACACACACACGACTTTTCCGCTTACTGAGAGCTGAAGTTAGGGCTTGGTGGACGCGCTACCGCGATTCAGGAGCTTATTTAAACGCTGTAATTAATTTTATTTTATTTTTGTCTTGTCTTTTCTTCACACATCCCCCCCCCCCGCTCCTTTTCTCTGCCCATAGGAGAATGTTTCCTCCATTTAAAGTGAGATGCACTGGACTGGATAAAAAGCCCAAGTACATTTTATTGATGGATATTGTGGCGGCTGATGATTGTAGGTACAAATTCCATAATTCCCGGTGGATGGTAGCCGGCAAAGCTGACCCTGAAATGCCAAAGAGAATGTACATCCACCCGGACAGCCCGGCCACCGGCGAACAATGGATGTCCAAAGTCGTCACCTTTCACAAGCTGAAGCTCACTAACAACATCTCTGACAAGCACGGATTTGTGAGTGCCTTTTACACCTTCCTTTGCCCCCTCCCTTCCCCCTTTCCCTCCCTCGCTGCCCGGCCGGAGCGGTGGGTCCCGATGGGGGGGATCCGCGGCTGCTCGGCCCGGGCCCGGAGCCGTGTCCGCAGCTCCCACGGGCGGCCAAAACGCGGGGAAAACAGGGCATAAATACCCCCTTCCACGCTCACGGGGTCGTGCATCTGTCCGGTTTATAACATTCCTTTTTTTTTTTTTTTTTTTTTTTTTCCTGCTGCTGAGATCGGGAGTAAACACTCAAGTTTATTCTGTAACCTCTCTGCATTCAGCATTAACTTGAGAGAGATATTTCCAGCGTAGCGCAACTCGATATTTCTTGGAGCTGTGGTGACTTTATATATCTATGTGTATTTTTTTTTAATAAAGTCGATCACACTTTTTAAGCATAGGAAAACGATATGCATGTGTGTAGAAAGGGCTTAAAGGCCTAAGTACGCAAACATTTAAATATATATTAATCTGGATAATGTGAAGCAAGCCGGAGTGAAAATAAACAGGGACCAAAATCAGAGGTCAAGTTGCCCATTCATGTCTATCCACTCCTTTACATTTACTGGGTGTGCAGAGATAAAAACTTACCCTAAGAGTGAAATCAAACAAACCTGCTGATAAGTGCTCTGCCGATCCTTGCTATTTCTTTCTATTCCTGGGAAAGCCTCCTCCGCCCCGGAGCCGGGGGTTGCTGGTGGTGGCCGCGGTCGGGGGATCTCTAATGTGCCGAAGATTGCATTTGCTGGCTGTGATTTGATTAGACGATACATTTTTGCCTTTCGCAGAAGGCCTTAAGTGGATTGGGGCAAGCAATTAGACCTGGCCAAGGCTCTCCTGGTGGTGTTGCTATCGTAGCTGCTGCTCCTTTTTTTTTTTTTTTTTTTTTTTTTTTTTATTTTTTTTTTTTTTTTTACAAAAAAACAC